CAGTTGGTTAGAGATAAATTTACAATCCTTCCAAATCGCACACAAACAATTTTGCCCATCTTCGGATGATAACACTTTCTGGTAGAAAATTCCGATTCAAAACGTTTCGAAACGTCAATTACGATGTTTTTCGTTTTTTTGAGGAATTCAAGAAAGAGAGCAATTTAATGAAACAACACTTAATTCCAAGGTTATGGTTTCGTAACGCCAACAACGAAAATTGGTCGTTTGCTGATCATTTTATACGGTATTATTGGTGCACCGTTAATATTGATAGCTGTGAGCGATGTTGGAAAATTCATCAGTTACTATTCAACAAAATTACTTCCGAACGTAAGTAATTCGCTGTTCTGACTGAGGAATTTTTGATGGCTTCAAAATGTCGAAAATGTTATGAAAACTCTGCCTGGACTTGATTTTACATTTTTCCTCATCAATCAAACTCCCCAGACTGATGTTGTGAGAAACCTTAAGGGGAATCTGATGTGTAGAAAGTAGAAAATATGAGGAATCTAATGACTTGAAGAAATAACCAAGTTACTGGGCAAACCTGAGGACACGGTTAGTCTGAAAATGGTGAAGCTATTGCTACTATAGTAATGTACACATTCACCTATAGTGATACAATGTATTGAAACGAGCGCCGCCGAGCTGCTTAAGATTCATTCAGAAAATCACATATATCTCCTCAAGTATGCAAAACCGCCAGACAATATATATGCATTTCTGAATGTAGAGAATCCGGGGAATCTAATGATGTGAGGAAATAACCATGTTACTGATCAAACCTGAGGACACGGTTAGTTTGAAGATAGCGAAGCTGTTGCTTCTATAGTAATGTACACATTGATCAATAGTGATACACTGTATTGAAACGAGCGCTGTCGAGCAACTGACGATGAGATACCTTCAGAAAATCAGCTATTCCTCAGAAGGAAAGCAAAATTGTTTGAAAAAATATATACTTTTCTGAAAGTAGAGAATCTAGGGAATCCGATTGTGTGAAGAAATCACCATGATACTGGGCAACTCTGAGAAGAGCGATTGTTTGAAGATGGTGACCCTCATGCTCATCAATTCATCAATTAATTGACTTGTTTTTGGATTTATTTTAAACCCAAGTCTTCAAAATCTTTTAACAAAACGAAAGTGTGGCACTTGGGCTATTCATGTGATCACTGAGCCATTAATTGAGTTGAACTTAATGGAGGATGACATTCCGCATCGATTTGTAGCCGTACAGAAAAAAAAGATATCAAAAATAAAGAATGGGTTGATCTTGGTGGTATTTTGCTTGATTACAGAAAGGCTTAGAATTGTGATGGCGTATCATTTCTATAGTTTACGATTAGCAAATAAACAAAGTAAACAAAATTTGGCTCGCTCAAAAAGCTCTAAAGAAATTTAATTTCGGAAACGTTTCGTTATGAGTGCATTACGATAATCTTTATAATATCAATCGTAAACATCTTCATTGATGCACCATTTGCCATGTTCGCAGTGTTTACTGAACGTACTGAAAAATATAATAATTCTCCAATGAAGAGATTTTGCTTAGCCATGCTTGCATATTGTTACTTAACCAACGTAACTCGGCAAATTCTCTTCTGTCAGACGACTGCAGAAGAGCGTGATCTTATCAGGCACCTTACGTACATGTGGTGATAACAATGCTTCGAAGATAGTCAACCATGGAAGTTGAGCGTAAAGCTTCTCTTGAGTACTGAGGTGAAGGTAGTCAGGTTGAAATAATAGGACCGTTAATGCCTTCATTACAAAGATCAATCACCATAATGACACTACTAATTCTTATGGCAATAACTAACAGCTTGTGATCTTTTCAGTCAATATTAGGCATATGCTTCCTGGCGTTTTTACTCGTTTACCTGTTCCTTGCCGCATGGATAATCTGGTTGTTCTCACCGCTTACATACCTCAATGCTGTGTATTTTTCAATCACATCAATTTTTACGATTGGTTTTGGAGATATACCGGTTTGTGAATATCATTAAACCGTTGCAATTCCATCTTTGCCGGTGATCGTTCAGGCTTTCACTTTATCACATAATGACCAAAATGATCTGCCGAGAGCAATGAATCATTAGAGCGATATTCCCAGTTTAAAAAGTTGAGTTCCATTATGAGAAGAGCACTTTCGTTAGGCAAATTGCGTTTCATCTTTGACATTGAAAATAAATTTTGTTCAATGAAAAATTTATTTCAGTGAAGCGAATTGTATGTGAGTGCATCATAAATTTAATGAAAATCAGAGAGAAAATTTTGCTTGAATCTTGAGAATTGAAATGAAATTTTGCCCGAATTTCAGTCGCCGATACCAATTCCATATCTGATTTTGTTCATAATTGTTGGTGTTATATTGGTGACAATCACGGTTGAGCTGGTGGCAGCCGAAGCCATCAATCATATTCACTACATGGGAAGACATGTGGGCACTGCAAAACGAATCGCCAACAAAATGATTCAAGTCAGTTGATGATTCCATTTTCTATTTCGCTGATTGCTACTTTTTTGCCACTTATGCAAAATATATCCCGAAAGGAATTTCTGAATTCCGACCAAACAGTCTCATCAAGAAACTGAAGTAAACAAACGTTAAGCAGTTAATGAAGAGGTAAAAAGTTCTGATTCCATAGAGCACCACAAGCGTTCAGAAATCGCCCATAGACAATCTTTAAAGAGAAAGATTATGACTAATTATCCACTTAGATACTAACAAAACATTGAATTATTTGAACAACTGATCAATTCAATCAGTTCAACTGAGTGAATTGAATTGAAATAATTGAATCAATAAATCAATCAACTGGATCAATACATTGAATCAGATCAATTCAATCAACGAACCGATCAGTTCAACCAATCAATTAAATTAATCAAAATTGTTTGATTAATTGGATCAGGGAATAAAATTCTGCCCCAATCACCCGTCTAACCATGAAAAGTTTGAAGGGATTCAATTCTATGAATGAAAAAAAAAAAACAATGTGCATACTCTAATCTCATAGAAATGTACTTGGCACAACGTGTCACACAATATAAAATTCATATTTGATTAAAATTTCCAACTACTTTCCTAGATTGTTTCTACTAATTCCGGGAATCAGTCCAGGATTCCAGGAGTCTAGTTGAATCAATTTCGGGAGGAACTTGCATGCTATTCTTGAGTCAGTGAATGACTACTCACATTACTTATGCTCCTTTTTGGAAATAATAAATTGAAGAAAATTTGCAGCTGGCACAAAGTATCAACATGAATCGTGGAATAATGCTGGGTCGTAGTCAATTGGAGTCGTTATCACGTTTCAATTTAGCCACAATCGGTATTATCGATAAAAAATTCGCCAATTTAAATCGACCCCAAAGCACAGATCGGCTACGCAACACAGCATTTCATCCACTTATCGTTAACGATCTCGAATTTATGGATTTGGATATGGCGCATTCCGAATATGGGTCACCTAAAAATTTTGTTCTATCTTGATCGAGCACAGATTTCGCACGTTTCATCGTGATCATATTCAGTGCTATCGAAATTATTCAATTTTCGCCCGTGATTGAAATCACTCATCGAAGTTCGAATTTCATGATGACAGATGGTTCCCATCGCTATTATCGTTATCTACACGGAAAGAAGGACTCAAGTAAGGAAGTATGTGATACTGGTGATAACAAAGAGGCATAAACTCGTGATGAGTTGGATTTGCTGATTAAAAAAATAACTATTCAGTCATATCGTTTCCACTAATCTTTCAATATTCATAACTTTTATCAATGTTCTACTCACAACCAGTTTATCATTGTTATCATAATTATCACTGCGGATATGCATTAACGGAAATGTTCTTGCGGAACGTGTCATGCAGTATAAAATTCAGATTTGATTAAAATTTCCAGCTGTTTTGCAAGATTGTTTCTACTAGTTCCAGGAATCCGTCTGGTTGAATCAATTTTGAGAAGAAATTCGCATCTTAATAGCAAGGAGGACGGTAAGAACCTCGTGCCTTCCCATATAGGAACCCGAAGATCTTCCCGACCTTGTTGTTGTTATCAATCTCAGTACAAATGACACATTTCAGAAAATAAAGCTACCGTTTTATTGGTATTAATATCAGTACAAGACGTAATCACCATTAGTATTCATACAAACATGATAGTTTATTATATGATAGTAATCAGCATCAAACTTTTTACAAATGTAATAATGTCTGAGATTGGTGAGTGAAAAGTGTTCCGAGAGAGACTCTTCATATTTAGAGGGCATGACGATAGCATTTATCACGTTATATTCAATGACTTTACTTCGGTCCTCAGCACGTTTCGTTTCCAGTTGAACGACAAGAATATAACACTGAAACATTTTTGGGTTAATTATTAAATAAGTAACAACAAACAAATTATAGTTTTTTGAGCGATACAGAGTCTGATAAATATTCCATCAGTATGTAACTTGGCTGCTTGAACTTTAACGTCGAGTTCGGAATTCAATGATTTGTCAAACTGATTTGTGAATGATTTAGGAAGATGGTTCAATTTGCATATATTAGCAAATGGCTACTACAGGACTGAAGATGACGATTGGATAGTTAACAGCATTCCTTGATTCCTGGACTTCAGAGCTTTAGACTAACTTGGACTATTTGGAGGGAGTAGGTATGAAAGAAGGAATAAAACGTTGACAATAAATTTAGATTAATGCTTGTATTGTAGTGATTTGCAACTTTTGATTACATTAGATTTAAAAAGTTTGAAATGAAATGAAATGAAATGAAGAGAGAATTATGAGACCAATAAATTAATTGAATCACCGATGATCAGTCAAACTTAATGGTTCCTGTTGATTTTCGCAAAAACTATCCGCAACAAGAGCGCTTACTAACGTTATTGCTTTAAATGTTTAAATCTTATGTTAACATGACAAATATTCGCGAAAAAGAAAAATCCATGCAAATGAAATTATTATTTATATGAGTATATGATTAGTAGGCTTAATATAATGACTGCTATTGTAACAATAGCAGACGAACTTTTTCGAGCGATTCACGTCAATTATCTGCTTCTTTTTATATTCACTCTGAACAATACGTTTGATCTCGATCGATCAAATACGGTCACTCATCTGATAGTGAGCAAAATGCAAATGTTTTTGAATCACTTAAGATGGTATGAAGCCGAAACGTTGAATATTGTCGCAATGTTTCTTAGTACGCTTGAAATGGTTTTGTTTTTATGTTCCCTCTGAATTCCTATGAAGAAAGCGTCCACTAATGATATTAATGAGAAACAAACCCGCATAGGACGTGCATCATTTGAAAGGCGACCGTGACACAAGCAAATGTCGCTAAACGTGATGAAGTGAGGTGAGAAACTATATGAAACAAGAATAAGCCAATCACAAATACCAGTGTGTATAAACATGACTGAAATTTCAAAACATTCATAAAATCACTACTGGAAATATTATGAACAATTACATTAATAGTGACGTTAATTAATTAAGTCAACAAATTAACATTAATGATAATCATGCACAAAACATAAATCATATGGAAAATAATTTTGTGCGAGAACCTGAGCGAATAAAATAACTTCTCGTCGACGTTTCCGAATTGCGTGAATCTTAACGAATGCCCTCGAAGAACACTGTTGCATCCGCTGAAAGCAAAGTTAAAAACTCGATGACCGCAAGAGTAAATCTTCATCATTATAATCACCACAAGAAGCAGGCGCTAATGGCGATAGTTATGATCAACGAGGTACTGCTTGCCGGTAATTGTTACCAGTAATTTGATCATAAATCAAAAATTTCACTCTGATCCTCAATGTTTTTCAAAAACTTCCTATGAAGATACGATAAGTGATCTAAATATACGATGTATATATACCTCAGTGTAGTTTCGGAGCCGAAAAAATGCGCATGCGTCCACTAAAAGTGCACTAATAGCCAAGATCAGTGATAAAACAAAATCCACATAAAACGACATGAATTTCCCACAACCGGCCTTGTCAAAACGCCATAAATAGGTATCCCGATGAAATGTATACGTGCAGCCATCTGAAGACAGCACAAAAAATGGACCAATCAATGGTAAAACTCGTTGAGATGCTTTTTCTTTGTGTTTTTTACGTGTTAAATTTGTCGTACACAACTGTCTGATTTCTCACAAAGAATTCAATGGAATCTTCGAGCTATTATTCAAGAGCTCTTTGAAGAAAGAGCTTTCTGCTCAATGCCATCACGTATTTGACAATGCAATATTCCCAAGCATTTGATCAAGTGGAAACTTAAGTAAGAATTTGTTTGCATTGAAAGCATGAAACTAAAAAGCATGAGAAGTTCACAATTAAATTCACTCACCAATATAATAAATAGAACAAAGTGTGAGCCAAAGAGCAAATGTGCCTCCAACGCATACAATGGAAAGTTTAGTCGTGAACAAGGTTCCGTATTTAGTGGGAAAACTTATAGCGGTGAAGCGATTCAACGCAATCAACAAAAGTATCGTGACGGCTGAATAAAACTGTGAATTGACGATATGAGCCACTACGCTTGCCAGTACAGATGCAGCCCAAGTTCCAGGTCTTAAATTATGAATGATTCTATTATTGTGGATTCAGAGTTTTCAATTTCTTATGAAAGCACTTCATTGAGCAGAAAGAAACCAAGCGAAATGATTCCAAAATTATTCAATGGAAGCTGTATACGGCGTCGAGGGAACGGTCATAAACATTTAATTAAAGAGACGCTGAACACAATTGGAGTTGTTGAAACTAGGAAAATGAAGTTAGAAATTGAACTGGATAGTCAATAATTAGTAAATTTCTTGAGAAGCACAACTGATCAATGAGCTGGTTCGATCGAGCCATGCTAAGTCCGAATCCAGTCGGAATTTTGGAATTTTTCGCGAACTTTTTTATCCACTGAAAGGGTTGTGTGATAAAGTTGAGTCGTACAAGCATAAACATATGATTGTATGAAACTTGCGAAGGGATTCATTGAAAACGAGTGAGGAATAGAATCAAAAGTTGTTGAATTACATGGCGACGACGGGCGGAATCCATAGAAGTGTGACAAGCAACACAATGAAATGTGACAGCAAGAAGCCACCACAAAGAATTCCAAATGAATTATGCAGATTCCGCGATGTACGAATCACATTTAACGCCATTGCATTCAGCACTAGACCTGCTGTTGTGACCTAGAATTTTTGAATACTCAAAAAATGACCTCACTGGAGTACAAGACAGCATCAATTACGATCAGGTGCTTCAAGTTCAACGAAATTAGCTAACATAACTTTCAATTAGTTCGTTTTGTTTTGTTCCGAAAAGTTTTT